AGGCAGCTGCACGGTATACACCCTCAGTGTTTACCAGGCACTACAAACTAGACATCTGTGCAAGTACAGATTGCTTCTCCAGCAGAACAGTCCTCTACTTGATTCTAGTGATGACACTATCCCACCATGCATAATGCCAGGATAACAGCAAGAAAGATGGACCTGGGGTATCCCAGGTTTGGAAGAGCTGTGTGATATCCTCTGGATGCAGCTCCCATTCGTGAATTTCCTCCATCCTCCTGCTCATAGCATCTGTAATGTTTACAATCCTGGCCAGGTAGATGACTGTGATGGTAATGCCTCTTTCAAGGCACCAGTCCCAGAGCTGCATGGTTAGGTGAGTCAGGGAGGGACACAGGCTGCATGCTGCCTTGCTTGTTCAAGCAGAACACCACTGTAGTGTTGTTTGAGGCAACCTGAAGATGCTTGTTCCTTAGGTGCAGCCAGAATGCAATCAACACCTTCTGGACTACATGAAGGTTATGGTAGTTGATGTGCTCTCTTTATTCCCAATTCACCCACACTCCATGTGTCCTGCTGCCAGAACAGTGTACTCCCCAATCCAGGCCTGAAGTGTCTGTGGTCAGGATTGTGTCGGGTTCTTTCAGCACAAAGGCAACTCCCTCTGCCTGGTTGCATTGGCAAGCCCACCAGTCGAGGTGTGCCCATACTGAGTGTGGGAACACCAGCTGCTTCTGGATCATGTCACTTTGGGGCTGATAGGCACGCACAAACCAAGGGGTCACATCCAAAGCCTTGCAAACAGGATGACCACATCTGTCGCTGCCATATGAACCAGGAGCCACTGTAGTGCTGGGCTCAATCCACTGCTGCCCTGTCTACTAGGAGGTAAGCCCATGCCATTGTCATGTTGAGTCTTGCTCCAATGAGGAGGATAGGCTGGGAAGGAGAAAGGACAGATTTTGTGCTGTTAATACATAGTCCTGGTATGCCTAAGAGGTCGCATGTGACCCACATGGAATCTAAGAGTTCATCTTGGGATGGGGCAAGCAACAATCAATAATCCAGGTAGGGAAACACCTGAATCCCCTGTAGCCAGAGGTGGGCACATTCCACAGCCATGCACTTGGTGAAGTCTGGGATGGGGGTACAGTGCAGAGGTGGAACAGGAGCACCAAAAACTGGAACTGGTAGGCATCCGGGCTGATCTGAAACTGGAGTCCAGATGGTAATATGGACATATAAATCCTTTAGGTCAGTTAAGGCAAACTAGTCTCCTTGGCACAGCAATGGTGGAAGATTCTGCTGGGAGATCATGCAAAACTTCTTGTGGCGGATGAAGAAGTTAACATCCCACATGTTGAGGATGGGATGGAGGTCACTGGGTTGGCTGTTCACCAGTCTTCCCAGTTCTGAGGCCACAATGTTGGTCTTGAGAGAACTGGTAAAAATGGTGGGAAGCCCTCCTAGATATACCAGAAGGAGGGAGATGAGGGACTCCCGCCAGAATGAGTCTAGCTTGGAAATCTTCCCAACAACAGGTCTTGTGCAAGCACAGAGCAATCTGTGAATGCACAGATGACCACTTTAAGAAATGTCATCCATCCTGGACCTGGGAGATGTCAATTGCTTCATAAGACTCAGGAAGTTTCACATGGTCAAACTACAAAATTTCTTGCCATTGCTGAGAGAGGGAGAATGAATCACTTTGGTAGACCTGAACATGGGGTTCTTCTTCCCCTTGAAGAGCTGCTGTAATTGTACCTACCCCATTAGATCAGACATGGGGAGTATGCAATCCCACCTGCTAATTTCATCTGTTCTCAGAGCATTTCCAGTAGGTTCCTCCTACTTCCCCACTCCCCAGAAGGGTTGGCAAGGTACTTCCCAGCAACAGTCCATGTATGCATGTACTCACCTGTGTTTCCTATTTTAGCAAAAATATTTGTTGATACTTAGCTGCCTCCATCTTTGGCGATAGTAGTACTGTTCCTATTAGTCAGTGGATCTCAAACTGACTTCAAGACATAACTGCACCCCAACACAACCTTTCTAGACATTCAGATATTTTTATTTATATATGGATTTATAATATAGTTTAGAACATATTATATTTAATTAATACCTGCGTGTGTCTCCTTTTTTCCTATGGATCGGTGGCCCTTTTTAAAAAAGTTCCTCTTCTGTGTTCAAGTAGCTTCTGTAGCACAGAGCATTTCTTATCAATTCAGGCTGGTGCACCAACTGTAACACTTCCTAGCTATGGTCCTTTATTGTGGTCTCTGTGGATCATGCATATGGGTTCTGCACACATGCACAGGTCTGTTAAGGAAGATTCCAGAGCAAATTAATTAGTGTTCTCCAGGAGCCCCTCCCCTGAACACACCCTGGTGTGAGGTGGGCTCCCTCCTGATCCTCAGTTCTTCTTTGACTGCTATCATGGATGCATCAGGAAGTACCTCCTCTGGTTCTCGTAGCTATTTCACTTGCCTACTCTCTGTGAGTCCTCTCCCCTTTGTCTAAAACCTCTGTTCTACTGTTCTGCACTTCATGTTTTCCCCTCCGTGCTTTGTTTCACCTTTCCAACTCCTCAATGTCACTCAGAGTTCGATTTAGAAAATGTTCGAGCTGTGGCAGCAAACATCTGGCAACCAGTGGACACTGACCAGTGGCATTTTCTGCCTGGAAGAGAGTCACATGGTGGATTCCTACTGCCACTGCTAGGTATTTACTAAATAGGAAAGAAAGTACAAGCAGAGCTCTGGAACAGAGCCCTCTGTGGGATCGGCTCCCTCTGTCCCGCAGAGCAACCATCAACATTGTGGGCTTCCAACTTGTTCCATGCCTTGTGCAGTGACAGCAGGACCCTCTTCAGCTGCTCTCTGGATGGGCCATTCATCAAAGAATGCCAAGACTGAGAAATTGGCAAAAAGGGGGGAGTCCTCCAAAATGACTGATGCTGCAAAATTCAAAACTGGCACCAGACACTTTAGACTAAGCACTACAACAAGATGCCCCCTACCGACACCCCATGTATCTTAGATGTGGAGCATGAGCCTGGTCCCAAGTGCCATTTCTCATCAGTATCAAGAGACACCCAGGAGGCCATAGCACCAATGTGCCTGGCAGCCCTGATTGCATCATTTTTGAAGGGTGAGATAAGAAACCCTCTCTGTCTAGGCAGTGAATATCTTCTGTTGCCTTGGGACCAAGGCTCACCTCTTCTCCTTTGCTGATCCTGAGCAAGGCTCACTCCATTGATCCCAACAGGCACAGGTTCCACTCACATGCACCCGTCTCCAAGTGGGAATACAGACTTGACTGGTCGCTGCTGCCATACTAGAGGGACTATGGCAGGGGCTTCTACCATGATCACTGGGCATCCTTTAATTCTGTAGATCTAGAGCAGCTGTACTGGAGCCCAGCTTGCTTTGACAGAGCCTCAATATGCTCCAAGGCCATGAGGCCAAAACCAAAACTCAAGATGCTGGGACCCAGTGTACAGCAGCGCAAATCCAGCCACTGCAGTCTTCCTCACTAGTCCTGGGTCCATTAACCTCTAGGCCTTGGTTCCAATCATTGGACCCCGGCAGCTGTCCATTAGACCCAGAGTCCATCTCATTGGTCCAACTTTCCAAGCCTTAGCTGGATGCAGGAGTGGCCCTCCTGGATGCACCCTCACCATTGGAAGATATGGGAATGTTCTCTGACTAGGTCCTGCAGATGGTGCACAGTTGGGGATTTAAACTCTCAGCAGGAGGGCTAGGAACCTGGTGTTCAAGGTGTATACAGAGAGGATGTGGCCAGTGGCCATACTGTTCATGGCTACACTGATGGACTCAGTACTGTAGGAATGGAAATCTCCTGTTTCCATAGCCCTTACACCTAAGAGGTTGGAGAATATGTACCACCAGTGCCATTCCTGTTCCAGCACCCTCCCCTCAACTCTATCATTGTGAAGTCAACCCAGGGGTCATCCAGGAGGGAGCACTCCATGCCTGATGATAAAACTACCTCCTAGATGCAGTGGAATGCTGGTTCTACTCCTGCACTGTACTGGCCTGTATGATAGCAAATCACCCAGCCAACATGGTTAAGTGCTGCTTCATGGTGTGGGACAGGATTGTTTCCCTATCCAAAGCCCTCCAATGGGAATCACAGGACCTGGCCAACAAACATCAGAACTGAGGTCACAAGAGATCCGCACAGCCAGGTACCAGATGGAGTGCAGTTGAGGAGCATGGCTGGGTAATAGACCATGAACAATACACCAGCACTGGCCTGAAAGAACATGCCATTTGATGGGGAGGGGCTATTCAGTGCAGTTACAGACTACTAGATGGCCTTGGTCCAGAAGACTAGGACCACCACTTAGAGGATGGGTCTGAACCAGCCACTGCCACCCAGATACTACACCACACACAAGTGGCACAACTCTACCTACCTGTACCAACCTGAAGTCTAGGCCCCCTCTATCCCAAAACATAGAGCAGATTCACAGCCTAGGTGGTGGGATGACCCTCCATGTTCTCACCAGGGCTACCAGGATCCAGACAATGTCAGACAGCTGTGCCTCTGACCATGAGCTGTCCACCTCTACCCACCCACCCACCTTTGGGCACCAGCTCCAGCCCTTTTTCCATGCTTGGACTGAGATCACGTTGGACCCCTGGGTCCTGTCCATCATTCAGCCTGGTTGCAGGATCGAATTTGAAGACCTTCCACCTTTAAGTACCATTAGGTGCACAGTCCCCCTCCACTCCCCTCTTGGAGGAGATCAGCTCCCTTCTCCAAAAAGGAGCCATTGACTGCATAGGCCCCAAAACTAGCCAGGAGTTTTACTCCAGATACTTCATGGTACCAAAGAAGTATGGAGAACTGTGGCCCATCCTGGACCCTGAGAGCCATCGAGAGCTTCATTAAGACTCAGGAAGTATCACATGGTCACATTACAAAATTTCCTACTGTTGTTGCAAGAGGGAGAATGATTTGCCTTGGTGGACCTGAAGGATGCTTACAGTCACTTTCTTCACTTCCAGATTGGAGATGAGGCCTTCCAATTCACCATCCTCCCCTTCAGGCTTGCACCATACATCTTTACGAAGTGCATGGCAGTTGTCTGTACCCACCTCCATCTACAAGGGGACCAGGTCTGCCCATAGTTGGCTGATTGGCTGATCATGGCTCCACTGAGGCAAGCCACAGCTGCTACATGTGACCTACTATTCTATCTGGGCCTCTGTATAAATATGGAAAAATCCTTTTTCACCCCCTCTGAGTTGTTCCTCATTGGCGCATGCCTGGGCTCCATCTCCAGACCTTCCTACATCTCCACCTCCCAACTTGGAGGATCCAACCCTGCTGGGCTGCAGAGAAGACTTGCCAGAAGACTTGCTGGAGGAAGTCCTGAAAACAACTACTTGACACTCATACAACCCAAAGTGGAAAGACTTCACCTCCTTCACCATACAGCACAGTTTCCAGCCTGCCAACTGCCTCATACAACAAATACTTCTGTTTCCGAACTCCATCTTCTGACACAGTCTCAGGACAGCTTCTATTCATGGGTATGGGATTGTGATTTCCACCTTCCATGCCGCAATACAGGGCTACTCTATCTTCTCTCATCAATCTTGCAGCAATTCTTCAGGGGCCTGAAAAAACTTGCTCCACCTATCTGACCACCTACACCAGCTTGGAGCCTGTCCGTAGTCCTTCAAGCCCTCACAAAGAAGCCCTTAAAGCCTATGGCCACCACAGACTTGTGACTCCTATCATGTTTGTCCATTATGCAAGTGACTTGGCTGTCCTCCAGCCCAATCCTGTTTACATCACTTTTCACAAGGACAAAGTGGTGCTCCAACCCAGTTCATAGTTCCTATCCAAAGTGGTCTCTGCTTTTCATGTCAGTGAGAATATAGTCTTGCTAGTTTTTTCACAAAACTGTCGGACCCGATTAAGACAGGACTCCATTCCCTAGACCTCTGGAGGGCCCTATCCTTTTACAAGGCTAGGACTGAACCTCTCCGACAGCAGTGCCTCTTCACCTATGGCAGTGCAAGCAAGGGACTCCCTATCTCCTCGTAGAGACTAGCAAAATGGATTGTGCATATGATCTTCCTCGCCTACAGGCTCTCTGGATTCCAGGCCTCTGGACCAATATGCACGCACTCCTCATAGGTGATTCCACTTGTGGCAACTTACTCAAAAGTGACCCTGCTTGATCTCTGTAGGGCCACAACATGGGGAAACCTGTCAGCCTTCATCTAACGCTACCTTAACGTCCATTCCAGAGGTATCTGCACCTCCAGCAGGGCAGTCCTATCTCCAGTCCTCCAGTAGTGTCACCACCCACCTCCAGGAGGTACCCTTGTTAGTTGCCCATGTGTTATGCACAGAGATCATGAAGAAAGGCAGGTTGCATACCTGCAATGGTCATTCTTCAAGTTGACATTGTGCATTCATACAAACCCACCTGCTATCCCCTATTGGTGTCATCCTGTAACACCAAGGCATCCTCTCAAAGGGACAGAAGTGTACAATGGCCATTTTGTTACTTCAGAACTGAGAACCAGGCAGGAGTCCCTCCCTCATGCCTGGGTGTTCCCAGGGGAGAGGCCTCTGCCAAATATAGTGATACCTTGACTCATGAACGCCTCAGTTCATGACCAAATCGGGTCTCAAACAAAAATTTCATAAAAATTTTAACTCAGGTCACAAACTCTGTATTGGGTGGTGACCGTGATCAGGGCCATCCCCCCCCCCCCCAGCACGATCATGTCCGTCTCCCCACCCCCAAGTGTGCCAGGATGACGGGCATGTGCAGGGATGACGGACACAATCGTGGTTGTGCTGGGGGAGGGGGGGAGATGGCCGCAAACATTGTTGTTCTTTGTCACTTTGCTTCACATTTTTCTGATTAAAAAAAAAACCTGTTACAGAACGGATTTACCTTATTTACATTGAACCTTACATTGAACCTGCTTAACACCGCCACCGCACACCCTGACCTGCCCACTGATGACGACGCTGCCCCAAAGGACGGATGGCGGCCACCGTGGGACTGGGGACCGGGACGATGTCGGCCTGCGGGCCCTCCACTCTGCCAGCGAGTTCTCCGCGAACCCTACCCTTGCCCCTCCCCCCCGGAGGGGCCGCAGCATTAACTCGCCGGCTGTGGCCGGTGGCCTTGGGCCAGCAGCCCAAGGGCATTACCGCTGTTTGGGCCTGTTCGGGGCCGTGCGGGGGCTGGGCTAGCCAAAGACACTGTGTGTGTGTGTGGGTGGGCTTTTGTAATTGGGTGGGTTGGAGGGTTTTATTGTATTTTACTTGTATTTTATTAGATTGTTTTAATGGATTCATGCCTGGCTGCTACTATGGGGTTGCCTGGGGAGCGCGTGTGCACCACTATTGGGGTGATTTTGGGCAATGGTTGATATGGTGTTGGGAGTTTAACGTGTCGACATAGAAGATGGAGGGACATATGGTTGACACCTGTTTCCCCTTCTGGTTATTCTCCCAACCGGAAGGTTCTGGGTATGCTTATCAACCGCCCCTCGGGCCTGACGGTGCTGTTGCTTAATGCCAGGTCGGTCTATAACAAAACATCCTTCATCCACGATTTAATTGTGGATGAGGGGGTCAATCTGGCTTGCATTACAGAGACCTGGGTGGGAGGGGGGGATGTGTCCCTCTCTCAACTGTGCCCGCCCTGGTATCTGGTCCAGCATCTGGAGGGGAAGGGAGGGAGGTCACTTTAATTTATCAAGCTTCTCTTTCCCTTGCGGGGCTTCCTGTTCTCTCGAGACCAGGTCTAGAGTGACTTTACCTGGCGTTGGGTGACCAGGACAGACTGGGGATTCTGCTGGTGTACCGTGCACCCTTCTGCCCATCAGACTCCCTGCCTGAGCTGACGGAGATCGTCTCGGACCTGGTGTTGAAGACCCCCAGGATGTTGGTCCTGGGGGACTTCAATCTCCATGTCGAGACTGTTCTGACCGGGGCGGCTCAGAACTTCATGGCCTCCACATGACAGCTGTCTCAACATGTCATAGGCCCAACCCATGAACATGGTCACACGCTGGACCTGGTTTTCTCGACGGGGCAGGAAGAGGGTGATCTGAGGGTGAGCAATTTGTGTCTGACTAAGTTGTCATGGTCAGATCACTTCCTCGTGAGGTTTGAGCTTGATGCCAGCCTTTCCCAATGTAAGGCTGTGGACCCTATTGTGTTGGTCTGCCCTCGGAGCCGGATAGATCCGGATGGATTCCTGAAGGCTCTGGGGGAGTTTCCGGTTGATAAAGCTGGCGCTCCTGTTGATGCTCTGGTTGAACTGTGGAAGGGGGAGCTGTTGACACGATCACTCCTAAGTGTCGTCTCCTGTCCGGCAGAGCCCGTTCATCCCCATGGTATACACCTGAATTACGGGCGATGAAGCGGGTTGGGAGACGTCTAAAGCGTAGGTGGAGGAAATCACAAGATGAATCTGACTGAGTACGCTTACGAGCTCATTATCGAGCCTATGCTGTGGCAGTGAGGGCTGCAAAGAAGAAATTCTTCTCCACTTCCATTGCCTCCTCACAGTGCTGTCCTGCAGAGCTCTTTTGAGTGGTACATGGACTGGTATATCCTGGCCTTAAGAAAGATCCCATACCACCCTCGATGGCCCACTGTGACGACTTTGCCCAGCACTTTAAGGAGAAAATCGCTCAGATTCATCACGAGCTGGACTCCACAAGTGATTCAGATCCTCTAGGGGAGGTGCCAATGACTCCAGTCAGATATTATTGGATGAATTTCAGTTATTGCGGCCTGATAATGTGGACAAGGTGCTTGGACAAGTACGTGCCACCACCTGTTTACTCGACCCTTGCCCATCGTGGCTGCTGACCAAAGCCAAACACAGGATTGGTGCCTGGATCCTGGAGGTCATTAACACCTCTCTGAGGGACAGCCGGGTGCCTGCTCCTCTAAAGGAGGTGGTAGTCAGGCTGGTCCTAAAGAAGGTGTCGCTGGATCCAGAGATGGCCGCCAATTATAGACCGGTGGCCAACATCCTGTTTTTGGGCAAGGTGTTGGAACAGGTGGTGGCGGGACAACTCGAAGCACTCTTGGATGAGACTGACTATCTGGACCCATTTCAGTCCAGCTTCAGACCCAGGTATGGTACTGAATCTGCCTTGGTCACCCTGTATGATGACCTGTGCAGGGGGGGGAGAGAGGGGGAGTGTGTCCCTGTTGGTCCTCCTGGACCTCTCAGTGGCTTTTGATACCATCGACCATAGTATCCTTCTGGATGGGGTAGCGGGACTGGGAGTAGGAGGCACTGCTTGGCAGTGGTTCCGCTCCTACCTCGACGGCTGATTCCAGAAGGTGGTGCTGGGGGACTTTGGCTCTGTGCCATGGCAGCTATGCCATGGAGTTCCACAGGGGTCCATTTTGTCCCCCTTGCTATTCAACATCTACATGAAACCGCTGGGAGAGGTCATCAGGAGGTTTGGGCTGCGGAATCATCAGTATGCTGATGATACCCAGCTCTACCTCTCCTTTTCAACTGATCCAGGTGAGGCAGTGGCTGTCCTGAACCAGTGCCTGGCTGAGGTAATGGGCTGGATGAGGGCCAATAAACTGAAGCTCAGTCCAGCCAAGACAGAGGTCCTGTTGGTGGGTGGTTTGAGCTCCTGGGTAGGTGACTTGGACCTTGCCCTGGATGGGGTTGCACTCCCTCTAAAGGACAGGGTCCGCAGCTTGGGAGTGCTCTTCGACCCAGAGCTGTCCCTGGAAGCTCAAGTGACCGTGGTGGCGAGGAGCGCTTTCCTTCAGCTTCGGTTAATCCATCAGCTATGTCCGTACCTGGAAGATGATTGCCTAGTGACAGTGAAACATGCACTGGTTACTTCCCAGTTGGATTTTTGTAACGCGCTCTATGTGAGGCTGCCCATGAAGACAGTCCGGATACTTCAGATGGTGCAAAATAAAGCAGCCAGGTTGCTGCCAGGGACTGGGCGTTATTCTCTTATAACTCCAGTCCTCTACCAGCTTCACTGGCTTCCCATTGTAGTCCGGGCTCAATTCAAGGTGCTGGTTTATTACCTATGAAGCCCTTAACAGCTTGGGACCTGGATACCTAAAGAAAGGAACGCCTTCTTCTGTATTTGCCCTCCTGCCCCTTGAGATCAGCAGCAGAGGCCCTCCTCCGGGAACCCTCTGTGAAAGACATTAGGAGGCAAAGTACCCCGTGGAGGGTACCCCAGAGAGGTTCGCCTGGTGCCGTCGTTATTTGTTTTTCGGTGCCAGGCTAAGAACTTTTTATTTCAACAATATTTTAATAACTTTTAACATTAGCTATATAGGTTTTAATCTGCAGCCAGGGTGGATCTGGATTTTATTTGTATTATGTTTTATTTTTCTTATTTTTTAAGCTGGCCTGAGGCTCTGCGAAAGTACGGCATACAAATATTCTAAATAAATAAATAAACCTTATGGGGAAATTTAATTGGCTCACAACCAATTTGGGTCATGACCAGAGTCCTGGAACAGATTAAGTTCATGAGCCAAGGTACCACTGTACTAATTCATGGGCTTTGGAATCTTTTCTGGACAAGCTCCACATATGTGCACAGAGCCCATATATGTGAATGCACAGATGAGCATTCAAAGAATTATTATTATTATTACATTTTTATACTGCCCATAGCCAAAGCTCTCTAGGCAGTTGACAGCAATAATCATAGAATCATACACTCAAGTCACCCATCCCACTTCTGCCCAGGCCTAACCCTGCTTAGCTTCCAAGATTAGGCAGGATCAGGCACTTCAGGCTACATGGAAGCTTGTATGACAGTTATAGGTAAGCAACTTGCCCTTATCCATGCGCTTGTAGTGTCTAGTTTAGATTTTTGCAGTGCTTTGTACCAATTCACAAGATTTATTTTAAAGTGGTCTGGTTAAAAATGTAGATCCAAACATTTTGAAGGCTAATAGTTACCCATCCCTGTCTCATACTCCCTGATGAGGTGCTTCCTTAATTGCAAGTTCTGATGACTGTTCTCTGCTTTTCAATAGATCCTGATGTGTTCCATGTATGGCATATGTAAAGTGAAGAACATTGATCTCAGGTTTAAAACTATTGTGACAGCATATAAGGAACTCACTAATGCAAATCAAGAGGTATGGAAAGATTTTCAATGTTAACTTCCTGTATAAATATTTGAATTAGTACTGTTGCCATTTCCAGGATATCTTTGTGACATAGTGCATTATATAGGCAGATCAAAAGGATTTCCATTGTATCCCAGTATTTAGAGTCATTTGAAGACAAAATAGTTTCTCCAAGAAGTACCATGTGTCTGAAGCATCTAAATATGATCACCAGAAAAGTGTAGCAGGTACTGATCAGCTCAAATGAATTAGTCACTTAAATTTAAAAGGGTACTGCATTTTTTTCAGTGTTCAAATTATATTTAAATGTTGTGTTTCAACTTTTTTATCCCACTGCGATGTTCCAAATCTATTGTTGCTTTTGGAGATGCTGCATAAAACTCCCTGGGAACAGCACTGACCTAAGATCCTATTGATAATTTCTGTGTTTCAAGAAAACAACTGGTGGGATTTAGAATATCTGATTCATAATTTACAAATAAGATCAGCTGGTGAAATTCAATAGCAGATAT